AATTTTATCTCATTTCATTCTAATTAAAGGTCTCAACGAATGGAACCGTTCTCTACTTCTACGGGAAGTGGAACTAGTTTTATCCTTCATGGTACTGTAATGCAGTTTTTCTCAAACTTTTGTATCTGGCGGCACACTAAAATTATTAAACAAAATTCGCGGCACCCCTAGTATTATTGTTTTTTTGCTTTTTTACAGTGTTAGTAAAGAGATGAAAGATGAGTCTTTACAAAAAAAATTTCTAAACACAAAAGCATTTAAAACTAGTTGTCAGGTGAACTCCTGACTTGACTTTCCGACTACTTTTAATAGTCATTGCAATTATCTTTGGCCATAATATAACATTTAGAAAATGCCCTTTAGTGCCTTTATTTTGAACCCGACGCAAAAAGTGTACAAGCCTTTTTTGTAGACCTCATCAAGACACATCTTTTTTGTAATTGACATTTTTTCAAGCCGTTATGACTCTTAAAATTTTGATACCCTCAACAACCTTGAAAATTGTTACGGATCAAAACCAAAATAGGACGGTTTCGATTCCCCATACCACCCTATATGCACCCCAAATATAAGTTATAAGATTGAGAAAGTCTGATGTAATGTGATACCAGCATACGATTTATTAATGAATTATGAACCACATAAATAAATACAATAGAAACTAAAAAACAGAATTGTAATAAAAATAGTATATTAAGATACAAGTGTATAATCAAGTCTTTAAAGCACGCGCAACGAGTTTAAGGGCACGACGCAAAGCGGAGTGCCTTTAACGTTGCAAGTGCTTTAAAGACCAATTATACACGTGTATCTTATAGTATTTTTTATTATACCTGCAGTATAATTTAAAAATAGGAAATACAATGAAATCATATTGACGTTATACTCGAATACATGTTTCATTAAGTGGGCTGGGTGTTCGAAATTTCACGATTGCCATGGAAATGTCACTTGACGTTTGCTTATAAAAATCATCGTCTTTGTCAATAAAACGATTTCCGTTGAAAAAGATAATACATCGTCCATTAAATCGCTTGTTGTAAAGTCTAAACAAACGTTGGTAGGTGTAAAATTCAAATCCAGTAAAGTCTATTATAAATAATATGAAAAGTTGTTTCCATGGATGAATAGGAAGTTACTTACGAATAAAGTCTTAAATGCATCGATAATGCTGGCATATATGAAGGAAATGTCAAAGGTATTTAAATCTTCTATCATTAACTCAAAACTTCAAACAATGCTGCGATTAAAATGTGGAACAGATTTGGAACATACCCTAAATTACGCGCGTGTGTGAAACCTTCAAGCAAAGGGTAGGTACAAGCCAAAGAAATGTTCTGCATTTACCGAAAGCGACCTAAGAGGATTTTTTATTTCAACCCCAGATGACAGTTTCAAAAGTCATACTTGAAGTATCGTTACTTAGCAACTTTAAAGCACGTGTGTTTTAAAGGCCTTTTTTCGCACGCATTTGAGTATTTAAAACGGAGATTGTGATTCAGGTATAAAAAAAAGAATATTCATCTCTATATATAAAAATGAACCCCTGTTTCTTCTGGTCACGCAATAACTTTAGAACGACTTTACCGATTTCATTCATCTTTTTTTTAAAGTTTTTTCTTTTCTTACGGCAAGAAAAACTAAGAAAATTGCACAGAAAATTGGAGAAAACTCAACGACTATTTAAACATCGCCCGTTTGATGGTGCGACGGCATAATTTCTTCATTTCATAGTGTGCTGTCAATTTGATCGGATAGTTTATCCAGACTTCAGTGAGTTTTTTGAGAAGTTTCGAGGTTATTTCACCCTAATCACGCCTTTTATATTAAAAGTTTGATATACATAATATCCATTTTTGGTAAGTGTTAATAGACTAAACACGTGGTATACATAGTTATACTTATACAAGAAACCCTAAGGGAGTCAATTTCTATTTTCAGTTGAATTTTAGTTTGTTCAAGATGCTACTAATTAGACTACCAACATGGTACCAACTTAGGTCTCAGAATTCGTAATCCTACAAGTCAAACGGGTGGTGCACGGTAAGTAGGAACATAGGGATTTAACATGGGAAATTGTTTTATGCAATATCCTGCCCTCTGGTACATTTTATAGAAGGTTAAAGGTGTTCAGACTCACTAGAAGTGAGTGCGTTATTATTTTGGGGAGAGATGGGGAGATTTTGGGGCAAGTGTGTCAAAATATATTTTCCGTCTAAACGGTTGAACCGATTTAAACCAAATTTGCTACACATATTTTTAGATTTTAAATATTATCAATTGGGGCTATTGTCATAGCGTGGAAAGAATCCTGAGGCTTCAGAAGCGTGCAATACGCATAATATGCAACTTAGGCTACAAACAATCTTGTAGAGAATACTTTAAGGAGCTGAGAATCATGACTGTGGTGAATACTTACATATTGGAAATTTGCTCATACGTTTACGCACACAAATCAATTTTCAAAACCGCTGATCATACCTATAACACTAGAAATAAAAAATTAATACAAGCAACATCCCACAAGACATCACTTTTTGAGAAGAACTTTTGTTACAACACAACTAAAATTTTTAACTCGCTATCACGTTTTATTAATACATCCTCGAAAAAAATGAACTATAAACAAAATTTAAAAGAATTATTGGTGTCAAATTGTTTTTATAATATGGAGGAATTCTATCAATTTGTAAAACCTTAGTTTAAAACGTATTTGGCTTATTGTAAATCTTTTGACGTTTATTTTAGTGCTTTCGCAAGAACCGCACTAAAATACTAATAAATATTATTATTATTATTATTATTAGACATAAAAGGGCAGAATCACGCATGCGCAGTTGGGGCGGGTGGTACCTGTGCTAGCCACAGCGAATTTTTTGCAATAATTTTTTGATATTATTTATTCCAGTTCGCATTGAATAGGTATGCATAGCTAAGAAAGAGGGCAACGTCCGTTGGGCCAGCTAGTTTTTTTATAATTATTTTAATTCCTTTTTTAATTTATGTAATTTAAGCTTATTAAGTAAATGTTTAAAAATTACGCGGCACCCTTATGAAGTGCTTGCGGCACCCCAGCACCCATTTTGAGAACCACTGCTCTAAGGAAAGGTCTCAACGAAAGGAATCAATTTCTACCAACCATAGCCCTCCTCCTCGACCTCTTATCGTGATCGGGTATATTCTCTTATACCTCAAGAACGGATTGTCGGAAGAGGGTAATCATAAAGGGCGATTGAGACGTCTGCAAGAAATATATCTATTGCTGATGTCAAAATAAAAGCTATTTCGGTTAAAAAAAATGCGCTTTATCTGTCAAGAGTTGTGCACAATTTATACTTGTTTTTCTTAGTTAGCTTATTTAATGGGTTATTACAAAGATACGTTAACCACCTGTTTCTCGTCTTAAGTAAATTAAAAAAAGATTAAAAATCGGTTGCACAGTTACCATCACATGAAAGACTAAGAGGTCGCCAACAAGCCGAGCACTGGATTTTGTTGAAAGGGTCAAAGAGCATATGTGCCAATTTTCATAACTTTACTCAAAAGTGTGAATTTTTCTAATCTCCCAGACATGTCCCAGACTATTTTGTATGTTATACCCTCTATATCGTTGAAAGGTCAAATATCAACAATACTGTCGACATTCAGTCTGTGATATAATTGAAAATGACCTGTGTTTCTGTTCGCCGGCGTTCGTTCGCTTGAGATGATCATGTTACTCTAATTAAATCTCAGAAGCCCATTTGCGGTTGGTTCCAGAGGGGAAGGGCCTGTGATCTTCATCTGTAGAGTCCGGGCCTGGGAGGGTAATTGTAGACATGGCATTTTAAATAAGGCGTCAAAACATAGGCATATGCATCTAGGTATGAGCGTGTTTCTTTGACATTTTTTTGAAAAACAGGAAAGTGCCATAAAATATCGTGTGACTTTGGTTGAAAGAAGCACAACATTATCCGTCCTACGGATGTATCAAAGACGAGCGTTGTAGGCCTGTTTTTTGCCCAATGCCCTTAGGGTCTGCATGTCAAATATTCTTTATTTTGATTGAGTGTACAACGATTATTAAGCGGCAGAGTAAAGCGATGCAAGATGTTTAGGGCAGTCGATGGTGTCTGTCTGTCTGTGAACACGATAACTGGCAAACGCTTGGACTGATTCGCCGATATGCCAAATGTAATAAGCCTATTGAAAATGAATCAAACCCAATGACTCAACAGGAGAGAACCTGCTTCCACCACTTTACTCTTGGTTACTCATCCCTTACCTGCCCAAGAATCTTGAACACCGATTTCTGATCGTGAACGTATTAATAGATAGATGTTCTGGGGGCCTTTTTAGGTGTACTCATTTAACTGTCTAAAAGAGTATTATGTTGTATAATCTATTATGTGGCGTTGTAAAAAAGTTACTAATTTTAGACTAGATTCCCAATGTTATCGTTATAATTTAAAGTTATTGATAATGTCAAATTTTAATTAAATATACAATTTAAGAGAGCCTTCAAATACGTACTTAATCAATTTAAATTATTCCATTTATTTTTTGAGGACGAATTTTTATGTCATAGCCCCACAATTTCGGAGATTCTAGGAAGTTTGTTTTGTATACACGATGCGAGTTCTACTGAGACTGAAAAATTAACAAACAAGCGCACATGTATAATTAATTAATGGGTGGCCTTCATATTTAGCAATTGTGTAAGTTGACAATTACAGACATAATGAAACGAAATGTAAATAAAAAAATAAGTCTCATTATTAGAGTAGAGACCGAAGCTTTACCTCTGTGAAGTGTGCCGAAAGTATAATAAACTATGACATTGAATTGAAGTCTTGGTGCGGATTGCTACAAATGTGGGTACTCGAATCATATTTTTAGTTTCTCAAAATTATTTTAGTAATTACGTGAGCGTGAGAAATCCTTCTATGTCGAATTAATTTATAATACTTTTAAGTAATTTGCTGAGATGGTGCTGCAATGATATGACTTATTTCTTTCAGATTGTGCCACAATGATGTCTCAAGGGGCGTGTGTGGACCTTTACAAGAATTTTTCTTACGTACCTCAAATAGGTGAGTCAATTTCATATTAGCTACCTATAATGATGTGTGCAAGTAAACCTCTTCTTTGTGTTTTTTTAAAACCCTGAGTAGAGGTTCACCTAGGACCGAGTATATACGCTAGAATAATGGGACCACCATTTTGTGAACGTAATTTATTCACAAACCTTCAGTGTACTGACCTTTTTTATAAATGAAAATTTGCATAGCTGGATTTAACCACCAATCCAGACTTAAGACAGCATACATTTGAACATTCGAGTTGAATGTGCTTCTCATCTTATTTTTTTTCTAATGGATGAATGATAAAAAAGCGCTTGTTGTCCATTAAACAACATTTAGATAATATGAACAAATGTATGCCAATGTCGTTATTTTATCTAAATAGGTAGCTAATGTTCAAAACGTTTGTGGAATATTTTGAAGGTATTTTCAATGATCTTTTCAGTTTCCTTTTTGTTTTTCTGAACAATAGCATCATCACTGCTAATCCGATGACACCGTGATGCTGCATGTAATTGATGCAAAATAATATATAAATAAAATAAAAAGTTTCTTTTCTCAGCTCCGTATTTAGCCTTTGATATTATCTTCTTTTGTTTTTATACGTTATTCTCTCTTTCATTTTTGGTATCATTTCCTGATTTATCCAAGGGTTCTTTGACCTTATTCCTTGCTTATATCCAACTTTCTTTTCAGCTGCCTTGATTCTATTCTACTCACATTCTACATCTTCTTCGACTTGTGGCGACATTCGAGTTATTATTTCTTCATCCATCCATTTCCCCACTTCATTCTTGCCCATAAACTTTAACTTGTCTAAGTTCCACTTTTTTCTTTCCGTGCCCCTTTCCCAATTTTAAGGCCAATTCTGATGTCTGCCATAAGTAGAATATCCTCACAGTAAATATAGCCGCATGCTCGCTTTACTCTGTTTCTGTATCTTTCTTCTACAAGTATAAAAATCCTACTCCGCTTTTCCCTCTTTTTTTACCACTGCAAAAGAACTTTGCATCATGATAATTTTCCTGTCCCTGTCCCTTTCATCTTGTTTCACTTACTCTAATTAAATACAGTCTGTATATTCTTGAAGAATCCTACGTTAATTGGATTACAGAAGTAAACGAAATTTTCACATAAAACGAGAATCTAAAATGTTGCATCTTATAAATGATTTTTGTTTAAAGAAGAATGTGATGGTTTTGTGCCTCTGCCCTTCTGTTCCTCGTCTAACTCGAGAACGAAAAGAAACAGCGATGTCAAACCCTCGTCAACCGATTTCTATGAGTTCTGGGATCAGTGCTATTGAATATGAGCCTGATTAAAAGTCTGGTTTCCGAAAGCGAACTGAGTAGCAAGTATTCCCCCCCCCCCTCCTGAAAATCGTATGCAATATTGTATTGTAAAGTAGTAGCGTGCTATATTTATCGATGTTTACCATCTTGGTAGAGGGAGGGATCTCTTTACGCATAAACATTTAAAGAAGAATCAAGCCGACAGTCCAATTTCGGGATATTCACGCTCCACTTTCTACATCGACGGTAGATATGTCTCGTCTAGACGTTCCAATCGCCTTCTTCCGCCGCAGACGTCCCAAGCGCCCTATGTGAGTACCCGCTTCTGAGACTCCGCTCATGAGATATGAGGAACTATCGTTGAGCCCTTTCATTAGAGTACCACGAAGGATAAAACCAATTCCCCTCCTCAACCCTTCGATTTTGATAAGGAGTCGAAGAGCACGACTGTGGTTGGTATAAAACAGTTCCTTTCATTGAGATCTTTAATTAGAATACCATGAAAGATAAAAGCAATCAATAAACTCCCAGCTTCCCCCTCACCTATTGATCTCGGAAAGACTTCGCGGAGGAACACTACAGTTCTTTTCACATGTGTTCTGCGCGTCACAGTAACTTGAAATCTGACGATTTTTTCATTATTGGTTCCAGAATTTCATGAAAGTCAAAGATACCAAATTTCTAGGGATATAACGCAACCTATTCTTTATAGTGAAAGCTTTCACACCAAACCAACAGATTCCCAAGGCATTTAATCGTCCAAACAAAGCTACGTAACCTCTATAACCTAAAAGGACTACACTACAAGGAATGCCAATGACGGTGGAGATTAATTAAGGTACACAAGTGAAACAAACAAACACTTTGAATTGGAAATTTGCCCGAAATAATTATATCCCAAAAATACCTTTAACAATGGCAGTTTGTCGCATAAATCCGTTGGGAAAGGAACTGCCAAAAAAAACCACCTAGTAAATAGAAGTAGATGGCAGAATTAATTGTTGTAATAACATAAATGCATATGTCACTTCCGGTTGACGAGGATTGACTAAAATTTAATCAGTTATCCCCTTGACCATTGTCTACCCATTACTGAAAACACAATTGGAAAATTCGAGAGCGTTCGCGAGTTATCATGTACATAGATTTTGCGTGCTGATTTGAATTTCGATAATAAATTTAAAGATTCGGGACAAACTTAAAAATATAAAAATCTATAACAAACATTTTTCATACAGCTAATAGTTCTTTTTATTAAACTTTACACAAATGATTGTCGATGAGTTCATAAATTGTAAAATCCATGCTATACAAACGGCTTCAATTTGTCCATAGATTGGTATCTTTAAGAAAACATATCGAATTTTTCTTGAGAATTGCTATTTTCAATCAAATATTATTTACAATTTCTATTAAAGACAAACAACCTTTAATATTACATAAATAAAATAACAGTACCTCATATAAAAAATGTCCTTCTGTAGATGACGATGTTCAGACAAAATAAGCTTGGAACAGCGAGGGCTGTTATAAGGAGGCCTTATAGAGGCAGTATTTCGGAAGTAGAAAGGTTGCATCGTTAGCGAGGGATACATCTCCTATGAATTTTCCAGGGGATCGTTGCTTTCTGGACCAATCTTTTTGGACGTTAAACTTCTGTATTTATAGATTGTAGGCAAGCGAAATTTTCATTACCACAACAGTTTGTTGTGATCCTGGTTTTGATGGAGCTTTCACCTGGTTTTGAACGATTTTATTCACACGAACACTTTCACTTAAATGAACACCTGTTTGTATTCAAATTAAATAGCGTGTACGGAGCGATAATGATCGCAAGACCGAACATGTAAAAAAAACTCTAGATGTCCCTATCCCTCTTTACGCAATCTAACTGAACCACAAATAAATCAAAATACTTCCCGATTATTTAAACAAAATGAAACATCTAATCATTCCAATACAAATCAGCATTGACTTCAAATTCCAATATGATCGAATTTGTTTTTAATTCAAATTAACAACCACATTTAACCTAAAAAAATTGAAATTGTACAGGAAGACCCATCATTACTCAGATGCTGATATCAATAAAAATATTCGAATGGCGTAGTTTACATAACAATATCTATTGCTATTTATTCACTATGGAAACAAATTTAATATTATGTATTTAAAAAATTAGTTTAATATACGTTTAATATGTTTTCCCGTCAGTATTTAATTTCAATCATAAATTGCGAATCGCTTGTGATTTGGAGCGGAAAGATTTGCACTGTAAACACATTTTTGCATATTTTACTTAAGATGAATTACATAACGCGCTATTTAAAGAAAATTTGCATGCGTTCCTTGCAAATATCCCACGAAAACTCTGAGTCGGATTATCCTGACTCCCACAGTTAAAATATCCTATTTACCTGAGGAAGTTGGAAACCATGCTACGACTCATGCAAACGATTTAAACTGCTTAATTTGTTACAGAGTACTGTAGTCCTATATTTGACAATGAGCTTTGTTGGCCCCCCACACCTGCTGGTTCAAATGTTACGAAATTTTGTCCACAAAAGAAGGGTACCAATGCGACACGTAAGTATACTTTTTCTACTGTCGATACACTATTGAAATTCGATATGTGTCTTTAGACGTGTTTAGTATACAAAAGTTTACAATTATGCGAAAGACACCAATTGCACAGAATTTCCGTATCTATAACTTTGGAGATGATCTGTTTTTTTTTTTTTTGAAAAAGTAGTATATCATTTCCGCTCCGAAAATATCTTTACAAGTAGTGACAAGTTTTAGATCGTAAACTAAGTTACGGAAGAAGTTGTAGCTGGCAATGTATAATTTTCATCATTTAAAAGTTTTCAACGGGCATGTTGATACGATTTGATAAAACACATTCCTAGAAATTCATTCCTCACTTTAAAAGTTTAAATGCGAAGGAGGTTGAGTGCGTTTAAATATAAAACAGTTTCAATTGAACCACTAAACCAAAGATGTACAGACTGAGCAATTTCCCATAAAGAATCTCTCCGGATATTTGTCGATTATGATTTTACAATTAACACATTTTTATTTTAGCTTATTGATTAACTCTCTTTTTTGGGAATCCCGAAGTTGTTCCCCACTAGTTCCTAATAGCTTTTGGGGGTCTTTTAGTACCTTAAAGAACCCTTTCTTTGACAGTATTTAATAACCGCATCCTGAGGAGTCTTTAAGACTCCTTACGCGGGGTCCGCTCCGGTAATTGTTCTTTCCTTTCCCGTTTAGTAAGTGGGGATGACGTGGAGAATAGCGTCGTTTCAAAACTCATGTGAGTTTTCTAAAGTGTCCTAAAGATTTCTAGAGCATTTAAGAATGTTTATTGGTATTCAAGTGTCTTCAAAAACCTTTTAAACCTTTAGGTTTAAGTTTTGAAGGGTTTTTAACAAACCTCACTAGCTTTCAAGCCATCGGGAGGAGCATTTTCGAGTATTTTTAAGCCCTGAAGCCAGCAGTTAAAAGCCTTATTATTAAGAGCCGTTTATGAGACTTTACACCACACTAGCTACTTAGAGGCTTTCTTGGTATTTAAGAGCATCTGTGAAGCACAAGATTTTTCTTTAAGAGTCGTAAACAGTTCCAAAGGATTTTTGCAAGGTACAAAGGGTTTTCTGTGAGATTTCAGCCGTAGGCACCTGTAAAATATTTTTCTGAGCATTTGCTAGTCAGGGCCTTTAAGACTAATTAAGGCTAAAATAGCATTCAAAAATGCCTCTAACGTCCGAGCCTCTAAGTTACTTGTAGTAGTATTTAGTAATCTTTAAGAGCATTTAATCGACTCCAACAAGCTCCCTCAAGACTCTTTTAGAACGTTTGATACAAATTTAGTATTAGCAGCCCCTTCAATGATCTCCTATGAGTTTTAAAAGGTCTGTAGGTATTTTAGAAGGTCTTTAAGTACTCATTTAAGTCGGCTACAGTCTAAAGGTCACTAAAAACGTCTATAGAGCTTTCTAATGCTTTAATATGTTTATAAAATTTTTCTAACCTTTCATGATTGTCAGAGGGCGTATAGTAAGACAGGTAAGACAGCTCATTTTGTATGCCTACATCTTTATATTAATCTATTAGAACTTTAAGGGATTTAAGGGAATTTTTATGAGTTTTTTAAGATCTTCAAGGTCTTCACCGTGCTCTTGATCCGCGCGGATTTCGACCGCTATAGTAGGACTTTTCTTAGTTTCCACATATCAGGTGTAACTGCATCAATAATTGCTTACCACATATCTAAACAATTTTCTCTGCCATAAAAATTCTCCATATATTTTCGATGGGATTGAAAACGCAATGGTAGGGAGGCAACCATAGTACCGCATGTCCATTTTCTAATGAAAACTCATCAGCAGCCTGCTGTTTCTTCCACCATCTCACGTTCGGCATCATTTTTGGTAGAATTTCCCTTAATTATTGCTGCCGTTTCACTTTTTCAATCCGAGCTCTTGTCACGATGAAATTATTTTTATTTTAATTTTCCTTAATGTGTATATCAGAGCAATAAAGATATAGCCCATGGTATAGATTTTTGCTGCAAACAAACAAAGCTTTAGAAAGGAAAAATCGAGATTCCTTCCGCCAAGTATGGAAATAATTCTCATAAAAGCTATACGATGAAAGTGCTTTTTACGATTTACCAAGAAAATCAACTTGGGCTAATAGCATAAATCCTGTCGTGTCCCCATTAATTAAAAGCGAGGGGCTCTAACGTAAACAATTAGTGGAAACATTGCAGAATCGCCTTTGAAAGCAAATATCTTAATAGCAGGCATATTAGTTCGGAAAAAAAGATTTAATAATACGTTTGCTTGCATGGCAGTATTCGAGAGCTTTGGCTCACAAAAGGAATTTAATACCACAAACTGGGAGTATCTTTTTATTATAGATCCCCTTAGATAAAAGTTTGCCACGTTTGAAGTTTAATTGCAGAAATTAACTACGGCATAATTAAGGCAGCTTTCAGTCAGCTTTAGATAATCGTCTTTGACAGGGCATTGAATGAGCCCAGAAGATAATGGAGTCCGGTGCTTTATTACACAGCCTACAAAGTGTATTGAATTTTTTCCATTATATCCTTAAATGGAATCGTGGGTATTTCGTAAATTTAACATTTGATCGTCTACTTTCTTTTTTCTACACTTGGAATTACTGTACCTACTCCTTCTCAATTTTAAACTACAATCAATAGAAGGCCTAAAGCGTGTTTAAAGGTTAATCTGGAAGGAAAAACACATGTTGGAATCTCCCAAAATAAAAACGTGGGAATTCACATCTCGATATTTTTATTTTGAGGTGTATTCTAATTTTAATTTGTTCAACAACTGTTTTTCTCATCTCTTTCAAAATTTTTGGGAAATGGATGTTGTAGGGGGCGGAAGTTTTAGGTCACTCCGCACAATTTTAGTTTTTATGCCCTAGGGAAATTTCGGACACGTGGAGTACTATAGTCAATTGCGCATAGACACGTAAAATGACATCGTTTGGGGATTTGTACAAGATTCATCTAATGATGATCTCCTGAAGTTGGCATTGTGCACTGATGTTTTTTACAAACTGACTAGGGTAAATTGGAAGACAATTACGATACTTTGAGGTACATTTAATGGTGAATAGTCCAGGCCAGGGTCCAGGCTATATAATATTTTTTTACAAAACAAAATTAGTTACGCTGGTGAAATGATTAGAAATTGGGGAAAAATAATTAAAACAGCTGAATTTTTCCGCGGGTGAAATCACGGGGGTTGAAAGGGGTGAAAACTGGTATTTTGCAATTTGTGGCAAAACTATTAATTTTAGACGAAAATGATCAATGTAAAAGTTATGAGCAACTATTGTATCTGCACTATTTTCACATACCCTCCAATTTTCCTAGAAAAACCGGAAAAACTGTTTTTTTCGTTTTTATTCTTATTTTTGCGAAAAAAAGTCTTAGGGGTTTGAAATTTCGAGTACACATAGCTTGTTTTATGATAAAAAAGGAGACTACTTTTTTGGGCCCGTAAAGTTGAACCGTTTCCGAGGTCTCTCACGATTTCTGAAAAAACCACCGCTTTTTCAAGGGGATAAAAAATCTATTTTTCATCGTACAGAGGTGCGCGTGGTAGCAAAATTTTCGTGAAGACTTATATTTTAATAAACAAAAATAAAAAAATATAATTCCTATAGCAAAAATTCGAGAAAATCGCCAAAAACTGGAAAAACAGTTTTAAGATATACACTGTTTTTGACATGATAAATCAACGGTTTGGATGTTAATAAAGATTTTGCTTCGTGATTCCTGAACAATTTGTTTTTGTTCACTGGCTCTTCTTCCTGCCTGTTTTATAGCTGATGCAATTGCGTTGGGACTGTTGATAAACTTGCAAAATCTGCAATAAGAACGTTAGTTTTACCGGCCACAGCAAATGATTTGAGATGTAAAACTTTATGAGGATTTTATTCATAATTCCTGTAAATTAACGATCAACAGTCCCAACGTAATCGCATCAGCTGTGAAACAGGCAGGAAGAAGAGTTAGTGAACAAAAACAAATTGCTCAGGAAGCAAAAGAATTCGATTTTACTTCGAATTGCTTTTATTGCGGTAAAAATGCAGAAACAAGAAATAATGAAGATGCTTTAATTAAGGCAGTTGGGCACTAGGAAACAAAAGAAAATATTTTAGCAGTTAATCAACTGCGTGTTTAATCGAACCCATTGTACGACCCAAATAGAGTTTAAATGTCAGATTTTTCTTTTCATGCCCAACAATTCTGTCAGGTGTTAATCAAACATTTTATTTAGTTAATTCTTTGGAATTGTCGATAGTAGCCGAAACTGGGGACTTGAGTTAGTCGTCCCAACTGTTTCTTAATTAATCAACATAATGGGAGAAGTTTAATATTTTCTTTACCCTCATTTAGATATTTCCAGCCTGCTTCGGATTATTTGGTTCTTCAAACTCGTCAGATCATTAATTTCTTTCGATTTTTCTTTTTTTCCAAATTTTTTCTTCAGGTTCTTGGATTTCTTCAAAATCTGAGATCTTATAGTTTCTTTAGGCTTCCATTTTAACACGTTTCATAATTCCTCGATTCTTAAGACTACATTTATTTATTTCTTTGGATTCCTTCCATTCTTAAGCTCCAGATAATGCAGTTTTACAATTCTTTTGATTCCTCAGATTCCTTCGGATTTGGATGCCGTTTTTCGAACCAGATTAGGTATACTTTTGTGCCTCCGTTTATTTGGACCGTTCAGTTTTCTTCAATGCTTTTTAGCGCATTTCCACAAAAAAAGTGCGCTATTGTGGCCACTTTGTCCGGCTGTCCGTCCGTCCGCTCGTTCGTTGAGACGCTACTAGTTCGCTATTTGGTTCGTTATGGTGTCGAGGCTTGCACAAGGAAGGAATTTTTTCTGCGTTTGTTGCTAAAAAAGTTATTGTAAAAAAACCAAAAAACCGTTTTTTACATGTTCCATAATTTTACACTGTTGTCGTTTATTAACGATCCTAGAGATCGTTTATAATTTTGTATTGCTGTCTGTCGTCTGTTCCTTTGTCTGTCTGTCCATCTATCTGTCCGTGTGGACGATAACTTTGTTTAGAAATGTCCGATCGCTTTTACATCTCCGTTAGTTATGAACTGAATTGCATGAAATTCAATATGGTCATACCTTTAGCCATATAATACGCAATGCCAAAAGTTGAGTCGAATCGATTCAAAATTCACAGTGCCCTTTTCGCATCTGGACCATTTATAAACCGAATTGCAAACTTTTTTAATTATAAAAGTATTTAAATGAAATTTGATACATAGTCACTTGGAATAAAGGTAAATCAAACGCCACTTTCAAAATTTGGTTTTGCCCATCCGCAATACAACTATTTTATTTATGAAAGAATTTAAACGAAATTTGATACATAGGCACTTGGAATAAATAAAACTCTAACGCCAGTTTCAGAATTTGGTTTTGGTTTTTATTTATGGAAGCATTTAAATGAAATTTGATACATAGGCACTTGGAATAGAGGAAAATCTAACGCAAGTTTCAAATTTTGTTTTTGCGCATGTCAGTGCCAATTTTTTTTATTTATGGAAGAATTTAAACGAAGTTTGATGCATAGGCGCTTGGAACAAAGGAAAATCTGACGTTAGTTTCAAAATTTAGATTTGCGCATGCGCAGTTCCAACTTTCTTATTTAGAAAAGCATTGAAATTCTTCTTATAAACTGAAATTGAAGTAGCACGTCAAAAATGGATTGCACATGTGCATTGTGCAACGCTATTTTTCATATTTGTGGCCGGATTTTTACGATTTTAACAGAAGTTGCATCTTACAAATGGTAAATGAATGCAAATGGAAATGGGCTTTATTTAAATCGTTTACGATTACTTTTTAACTTGTTATTAATTTGACCAGGAATTTGTGTATACTTTATAGTGTTAAAATTCGACGTAGTATTTCGTTTTCCACAATTAACCGCAAATTTTTAAAAACATCACTTTTGAAAGTAGATGTGCGAATAGCTAGTATTAAAAATATTAATAATTTTTTATCACTAATGTGATTAAATGTACATATAAATAAATTCCGTAAAAACAAACACCGTCTTCGTAAACGGTTTATGATGAAAGCCTAGCTCAAACTGTGCACCATGTAAATATGGATAAAACTTTCGTACTGATCAATGGAAACGTGTAAAGTTTGCATGTATTGAATAATTTAATTCAAACTTTGATGATATACGAGAAATAAAGCAAATTGACTTAGATCAGGTATACGTGTTTACCTCATACAAACGTAATTAATTTTAATTGAATCTCACCAACTTATGTTTTGGCATTTCAGAAATTTTACTTTAACTTCTCCTGATCTTTAGCTTAAAAAAATAGTATATATGTACGTATCTAATGCTGTAGTTAAAATACTCACATCTTGTGTAATTCAAATACTAATAGACTGTGTAATAGACGATCCTCCGCATTTGAATATTTGACAAACAGACTTCAATCTAAGCATGCAGATCCAACATCATAACAGTAAAGATACCAGTGATCTGATATAAACACCGATTTCTGTTATTTTTAACGCTGTCAGTATGGCACTTTCGACTGGAGGCGAATATTGCTCTAGAATATTCTCCATACGAGTCACGCGGTATATTACTTCAAATGAAATGTCGCCCTTGTCGCGAAATCTAAATGCTGAGACAATAAAAATGGATAGATCACGTGGTAACGAAATATATATTACAGAGAAAGGAATTGCAGAAGAAACGCATATACACGTGTAACTCTCAAACGAAACATTGTGGATTCTTGGTTTATGTATTCGATTTAGTTTCATCTAAGACTCCACTTTTTGCATGCTTACCTGTTACGCCTTTCAAATTTCAAACATTACACTACAAACCATATAAATGCATTACTTCCTAATATGGTTTCTATCCTTCCAGAATTTGCGTACCGAATATGTAAAGCGGATGCACAGTGGGAGTACAACAACATCACCAATTTGCAAGGAAAAGGCTATACGTACTACGACAACTGCTACTTACCTCGACTTAGAGACTTAATCAACATGTGCAAAGTGTTAGACTTTCAGACATGCACTAAGGTGAATCTGTGCTTTTTTTCGTAATAATTTTAAAGAATCGATTTTTAGGTAGGCTACAATACAAGAATCATAGAAATGGTTGGTCTGGGAGTATCCCTACTGTCTCTCGCGTTTTCGTTATTTATATTTTTTCGTTATAGGTAAAAGAAGTACGCTAATTTTGGAGTTAATCTCTTTGGTTTTAGGGTTTTAAGGAATAATCGTACAAAAATTCACAAAAATTTATTTTTATCGACGATATTACAGATTTTTGTACGGCTTGTGATATACATCGATCAGTCATTTGAAGATAAAGTCATTGAAAATACAGTAGGTTTCGTTATATTTCAATTATCGAGATTAGTTAAGGCTTATTTCTAACTGCAGCCGTACCTATGTGAGTCAATTTATGTGTTATTGGAATACGCCAAAACCGCAATGTTCATGTGGATGTTCATCGAAGGCCTCTATCTTCACAATGTTATAACCGTCACAGTTTTTCAAGAGTACTCGTACATGAAGCTGTACTTCTGGCTGGGATGGACTCTTCCATTGGCTTTAACTATTATATGGGTTATAATAATGATCGTATGTACGGAAAATACGGGGTAAGTTTGTCCTTCCATTTTTTTGACAATGGCTAAAGTGCAAGTATTTTCTTGCTGCAGGTGCTGGTATTTGTATTATTTCTTACCATATTACTGGATACTGGAAGGTCCACGTTTAACCGTTATTATAGTAAGTATGCTTTTATTTTATGTTTATTACGATTTTAATGGGATTTTATAAACTTTTTTGAAGGTTGACATTGAATGCTACCTTCCTTTAGTTGAAGGCTTTTTTTCATTTCTTGAATGCATCTCATACAAGTCTTATTTTGAACTAATCGGAACATTCCAGACGTTAGATCCTATTAGTTTCGTCTTTGCACGTGAATTAAGAATTTAAAAAAATTAGAAACTGAAAAGTCGCGGTGATAAAACGAAGCTTACAAACTCAATTAATTTATTTTATAGCAGATGTTAAATTGACATTTTAATAGGTTTGAATGAGTAGGCCAAGTGTCTTTTTAATATATATAAAGTGAGACAAATCATTGTGCATTCCAATGACATCTGTCATTCTTATTAAAAATGGAACACAGGGCACGAAATAAAATGAAGTTCAGAACAGACTACAGTATTGTTTCAATGAAAACGACGGGATAACCTAAGCTTGCTATCTTCGACGTCTAAATTAAATACCTACACAATTTTCAGTAGTGTTATAAGTTTTCTATTATACACGACGATAAAGGGAAGCTAACCATTTCGCGAATTAACTTCCTTCACTCCGATGTGACGCTAAAACTATTGAAACTTATATACATATTTTTGTTTTTTTCTTATTGAAAAATGAATACTTTCTTTTCCTTGTCTTTATCTTTAAGCTGAAAAGCTTCTTTATCAAGCAATCCACAATCAAAGCTTATTAGGCACCAAAATGGCATCCTCCTGCTTCTCCCTGTCCTTTTATCTTCTCTGCAATTCTATGTTCTTTTCTTCCTCTCGACATATTCTATATTTTCGTTCTGCTTCTTGTCTCAATTTCTCTTTTCCTTTCGCCTCATTTCCACATCTAAATGTGGCCACTATTTTAATATTTTTTATTTTCTCCAATAAATATTTTGGTAAAGATCGTTGTAACTACTCCTTCCTTGTGCGCTCTGCATCTTCACCCTCTGGTGTTGTTCTCCAATTTTATTTCGTTTTTCTCTTTTCTGCTGTTGTTTGTGTCTGTATCCCCCCCTGAAGTTGTAGATACCCAAATATTCAATTTCTAACTGCAGTAAAATGTTATTATGATTTTGTGCTATTCTATGGAATATCGGCCAAAGCCATTTTGTGCTCGTATAGTTTTCGATACAGGAAATCCTTTCGCGGTGTTTAACAAAAACTTGATATACAGTGTGTCTCAAAAGTAACGCAAAAGATTCGTATCTTTTTTCCTGTTGTGTTTTCAGAAAAATGCAAAAATAGGTGGATTAGTATATAGAAAATGCCATTTGGTTATAATTGAACATTTATGAGTTATATTTGACAGATCTATCTTCCTGTCAAAGACTGTTACGATCTTTATTTTCAATAGACATAACAAAACAATGCGATTGCAAACGATTTCATTAAAATTCAGCAAACAAAAAACACAACAGACAAAAAGATATGAATTTTTTGCGTTACTTTCGTGACGCACTGTATATTCGGTACTTTTGCTAAAAATTATTCTAATTGAATCCAAAGAATCCCTGTTTGATTTCACCTTCAGTTATTGAACGGTAAATAGGTATATGTGGCAATTTACATAAGCGTATTAGCACAAAACTTGACCTCTAACGATTTACGTTAGTCACCCTCCCGCAAAAATGCAATTTATGTTCAGTTCAAATCAGTTCCTTGTTTAACGCGAAGTGCGCTTGCTGTATTTTCCTCGTAGATTGAAATTGTTTCTACCAGGGTACAATAATTACCATGTCTTTACGAAGCTAAGGGTAAGTGCAAGTTTTCACTCAAGCAGAAATTCAAAATGCCTAGTTAATAATTTCACGTAAAATAGTTAATATAGAACAAATTTGGGAATTTGGGGTACGTGACGCTAATAAGCCCCCCAACTCTCTCGTATCGACTGCCGATTAGCTTCAACTGCCTTCTGAGTATCAACCGCTGCTTAGCATTGATCGCCTATACACTCGAGGGGCCAAGGAATATCTCTAGCATCCTCCATAGATCGCCTTTTTGTTAACCACCGCCTCTTAACTTCGAACACTTTTTTCGTATCAATCGCTACTTAGTATTCAATGCTTTATACACTGGAGAGGGGAAGGATAGATAGAATATCTCTCGCATCTTCCTTAGATCGCCTCTTTATTAACGACCGACGCTTAACTTCGAACGCCTTCTTCATCAAACGCTGCTTACCATCCTCCGCCTTATACACTCGGGAGGGGAAGGAATATCTCTCGCATATTCCATATATCGCCTCTTAACGACCGCCGATTAACTTTGAACGCCTTTTTTGTATCAACGAGTGATCAAATCTTAAACGTTTATTGCTATCTTATTTGGTACCAAGTAGAAAATATGAAACGGGTTGAACGCACATTTCGAATTTGTCGTGTTTATAATTGTGGTTTCAGAATCATTTAAAGTTATAATTAAATAGAAAACTAGTTGTAAATCAGCATATGCATGATTAAAGCGTATTTTTGGTATTACAGAGCAGTATTTTATTTCTGAAGTTTAAAATTATTGATTTCACGAGTAAAGTTGGCTGATGTGTTTAATAATTAATGTTATTTTTAATTACAATTGAGATACGTCTTTATTTTGTAAAACAAATCACAAAGGTAAATAATTAAGTTGTTTCTACTGGTAGCGTTATCTAACGGTAAAATTATAGCACCTCCGAAAACTATATCGAAATTATTTTCTTAAATTATCGATCTCAAAATTAATCTAACTCAAAATAGACTAGAGCCTATACTACAGCAGAAAGCTTTTAGTGAAAATTGAAGTCTCTAGCTATTGTAGTTGCTGAGATCTCAGACGGACAGCCGGCCAGCCAGCCATAACGAATATAATAGCGTATTTTTTTCAAAAATGCGCTAAAAAATGTTCCTACTCTGGGACCAAGAGGGCTAGTACTTATACCAACAAAAAACCGAAATCGACTTTTGTAATCAAATGCTGATAGCTTTATTACTCTGAAAAACATAAAAAAATAATCGCACAGGGAAAAGCTTTTGTGAATTTGAGGTGCTTACCCAACCAGAATTTTATTTTGATTATATTCGGGACTTATAATCTTCATTAAAGGGCAATTTCTTTAGAAACCTAAGCTTTCATCTCCAAATCACGAGCTTTGAGAAACCAATCCCTCCAAAATAATATCATTTCCAAGATGCCTCAACTTCGATCTCCGATCACAGCATCTCTAATTGATTTTTACATATAATTTCATGTTTTTGTCATGGCAATAACGGTCCAATGTTTGTATCATCCATAACAGCAATTTTTGGGATATTATGCTTACCCACAACACGAATTGGTGAATTTCGATTTATTCTAAGTGAAGTCATGGCAAATTGCAAGGCATTTTTCTTTAGCTAAGCTCACATGCGGAAATTGCATGATTTGAGAAAGCGTTTGCACAAATTCATTTCCGAAATGTTTGAATCAAACGCTTGCATCACAGCGTCAATTTTTCCATAAAATGTTATGTTCTTGTAAAGAGAATAGCGCTCGAAAATTTATTACCTACATGCGTAAACACATTGTTTTTAAAAAGCATTTCCACCCAAAAAATTTCATTTTCGAAATACTTTCACGAATACAATTTGCTCACAGGATTTCTACTCAATTTGTACACATTAAAATTTCATGTCGTTATGATGAGAATAGAGCTCGAAGTTTTATGACATTGTTAGTTACGCTTTTATGCACAGTATTTTTAATGAAGCTATGTCTAAATTGTAAGTCACTTTTCTTTAGAAAGCGGAGTTTCAGCTTCCATCCGAAATAACGTGGTTGGAGGAAATTTTATATCGAAAAATGTCTCTATTCGCTTGCCAAATGTACATGACTGTTGCTGTAGGTAGGTAATACTAATAAGTAATTAAAACTAGTAATGGGTGCTTTAATGTTTGATACTAATAGGTACATACACGATGTTTTAAATGGCTATCAAAATAGTTCGTTAAAATGTGTAGGTCTCTAGCGTCCGTATAAATAAATAAAAATGTAATAAACATGTTGCCCGATATAGACAGCTAGTGCAGGTTTTCTCTAATAATCGAATTTCGTAACTAATGGTGCTTTAAATTGGTTGTAAAGAACCTAATAGTTCTGAAACGAAGAAAAATTAGTTTCCAATGTATTCTGGAGATTGCCTTCCAACCTCGCCAAGGTGGCTTGAAACTGTAAAATTTTATGAAGCTACTTTGATTGCCAATGTACCACTAATTTGATTTGATCTGTGGTTATGAGTGTAGGGGGCGCGTTATTGGAAGTAATTATGCACAAAGGTTACTGACGATTTTTTAGAAAGCACGTTGCCTATAAAGTGAATGAGTTTATTTTCATATTATAGCCAAACTTAAGCGAATGCGGTTTTTTACCGACATGTTTGAATAACAAATTATTAGCCCAAGTGCGTAGATTTTAAATTTTGACGTGTTCATCAACAGTTTTGTTTAGAAATACGTAGTCAGTTTTCCACGTAACACAATTTAGGATGAGTATATTTCTTTTTAGCAAAACAATTTGACGACAAAATTCAATTACGCGGTATATTCGGCATGATTATTTCCTCAAAAAATAATAAATTATGAAGCAAATTTTGACACATTTTTAACTGAGGAAAAAATAGGGTAGGCATATTAGAAATTTTTGAACCGGAACTTTGTTTTATTTTGTACTTTTTGTCCAAATTTTAGCACTTTTCTTAGTTTTTGACCGATACCTCAAAAAGGAAGCGTTTTTTCTATACATAATTAAAGTAGACAAAATTTTCTGTATTTTTCATACCTATATCACTTTTTTTGTAAGGTTAACCATTCTACTGATAGAGCGCATCAAAGAAAAACATATTCCCGGACCCAGTATTATATGAATAATAATTAATAATATAGGGAAAGTAGTTGAAAAAATCAAGAAATAGTTATTTACATAAAAGTCTGGAAAATGACACATTACTGGTGAGGA